CAGCTAAGCTTGTACAGGCAACCTTGTGAACATCTGCAAATTCGTGTGACCAGCGTGACTCATTTGAACAATTTCGCAACTTCACAGGAGTTTACACGTCCGACCAAAGTATGACCTCTTGCTTAACATGAACTTAACAAAAGGACTGGCGAAAGTGCAAAATCGCCCCTTCCAAGCCGATCAGCGCCGAAAAGTGTGCTGAAAACTTACTCTGATCTTGCTCTTCCCTGCTTGTCGAGCTGCACATTTGGCACTCCTAGTCGGACAAATCGGGCAAAGAGCGACTGCTCCATGTTAGAGTACTTTTGGAATGCTTGATTTTGTACTACTGGAGGAAGTTGGTGATGATCTCCAATCATGCACCATCGCTTCAGTCTATTCCTGCCATCTTGCGGATTCTGAAACAGAAGAAAAACAGTTATTCGAGGGAGGAGAGTGGGCTTCGGCAATATCCATCGAGTGGATCTTAAAGAGTTGATCTCTGCTCAAGATGTCTGCCAAGAGAGACTTTATTACTGGAACTACCAGTAATTTTTTTCATATGAGAAAACGTGTTTCACAATCCCTCACGTCCCTCTTCCCTTTTTTCAGGACAATGTAAACAGTAAATAATCACCTGTAAAAGCAACGGAATGAAAGTCTCGACTTCCAGTATTTGAGCTGCTTCCTCCATAAGAATGTTATCGTAACGGAATCCAAGCTGTACCAGCTCATTCCTTCTCAACGCCGCGTGAGTACAAGTCATCGCTATAATCTTAGCTTCTTTCACCTAAAATGAACAATAAGTGGAAGGAGAATTACGCCTTCAAGCTGTCCCTCCAAACGATATTTTCTCGAATAATCCATAAAGAGGCGCTTACCAAAAGATACTCTGTTCTATCTCTGCCATTTCTAAGCAACTCGAACGCACGGAACTCTTCAAGTTGCTCGAAAATGTGATTAATATGCCGCCAACAGCTACGCGCAACTTCCATATCAGCTTTGAATGAACCCTGAAAAC